CAGAGGCATGGCCTCGCGGGTCCTTGTGTCTGGTCTTCCCCGGTCCCTCCCTCCCCTTCCTCCGGGCCCTGGCCCTGCCTGTGTCCCCTGTGTCGAGGGGCGCCAGCGTGCTGCCCCTCACTCCTCCCAGTTTCCTCCGACAGAGGCCCCGTTGCAGACGCTTCACATGGACGTGTGGGGCCCAGCCCGCGTCCGTGGACAGGGTCAGGAGCGCTACTTCCTGCTGGTGGTTGACGACTACTCGCGTTACACCACAGTCTTCCCCTTGCGCAGCAAGGGTGAGGTCACTCAGGTGTTGATCGACTGGATCCGCGCAGCTCGTCTTCAGCTTCGGAGAAGCTTTGGCTCTGACTTCCCTGTCTTGCGTCTGCACTCGGACAGAGGCGGAGAGTTCTCCTCTGCCCTCCTGAGTGCCTACTGTCGTGTGCGAGGCATCCGTCAGACCTTCACGCTTCCGGACTCACCACAGCAGAATGGGATCGCTGAGCGCCGCATTGGCATGGTCATGGACGTCGCTCGTACGTCCATGATGCATGCGGCTGCTCCCCATTTTCTGTGGCCGTTTGCGGTCAGGTACGCTGCGCACCAGATCAACCTCCACCCCAGGGTCTCTCGACCGGAGACCTCCCCAGCTCTGTTGTGGACGGGGAAGGTTGGCGATGCGTCGGCGTTCCGGGTCTGGGGATCTCGGGCGTTTGTTCGCGACCTGTCTGCGGACAAGCTGTCCCCTCGTGCTTCTCCCTGCGTCTTCCTCGGGTTCCCCCCCGACGCCCCTGGGTGGCAGTTTTACCACCCCACCTCTCGACGTGTTCTGTCCTCCCAGGACGTCACGTTCGACGAGTCGGTACCCTACTACCGCCTCTTCCCCTACCGCACTCCGTCCCTCCCCCCACCCCCGCTCTTCTTGGTACCAGGTCCCCCCCCGGTAGTCCCCCTCCCCCCTCAGGGTCCTGCCCCTTCAGGTGTGTCCCAGGTAGACGCGGTCGAGCCTGTCGAGGTCACTGGTGACTCTGGTGCTGCTGCGGGAGCTGAGCCTGGGGGTGCGGAGTCTAGGGGTGCTGAGCCTGGGGGTGCTGAGCCTGGGGGTGCGGAGTCTGGGGGTGCTGGGCCTGGGGGTGCTAAGCCTGGGGGTGCTGTGCCTGGGGGTGCTGAGCCTGGGGGTGCTGTGCCTGGGGGTGCTGTGTCTGGGGGTACTGAGCCTGGGGGTGCTGAGCTTGGGGGTGCTGAGCCTGGAGGTGCCGAGCCTGGAGGTGCTGTGCCTGGGGGTGCTTCGTCTCGCCGGGAGCCGCTCTCTCCACAGGAGCTGCGTGAGTGGTTTGCCCGGCGCTGGAGGCGTGCCGCTGGTGCTGGTGGTTCTTCAGCTGCGGAGGGCGCTGCTGCCACGCGACCTGGCGGTGCTCGTCCTGTGGGTGCTGGAGCTGCTGGGTCTGAGGGTTCTCCTGGAGCTGGTCCTTCTGAGGACGTTGGCGCTGAGCCTGCGGTTGGTGGTCCGACTGACGGTGCTCCTGGTGCTGCTGCTGGAGGTTCTGGAGCTTCTAGTGGTTCTGCTGGAGGTGCTGCTGGAGTGGGTGCTCCGGCCGGAGCTGCTGGTTCTGTTCCTGCTGTTTCTGGCGTCGCCGCGCGGTCTCGACCGTACTTCGTTCCGCTCCTGGAGCAGGTTCTTGGTCTTGCTCCTCCTCCTCCTCCCTTAGAGGGTCCGCAGCCTGTCCGGTCACAGCCACAGCTAGAGCCTGCCTCCCCTTTGCCTGCTCCTTCTCCCTACGCTGGTCCGACTGGAGGCCTTACTGAGCGTCGTGAGCCTGCGTCTCGTCCTGCGTCGCCTGTTCGTACTGAGCGCGCTAGTGGTCGCGGGTCGCGTCAGCGTCCTCCTCCTGTCCCTGGCACGCACCGGATGTCACTGCGTCCGTCCACTGCTCCTCTGCGTGCCCCTTTGCCTTCTCCTCCTGCTTCCTCTCTTCCTGCTCTTGCCGACCCGGAGTCGGACTCTCTTCGTGCTGCCAGTCCTACTGTCACGCGTCTCCTTGCTACTGCTGTCACTGACCCTTCCTTCGAGTCGTCTGCTGCGTCTGCCCTTGTCACTGAGCTTGTCGACTTTGCTGCGCGCTGTCGTCTAGACTACGCTGCTCGTCTTGTCGCTGAGTCAGAGTCCGCCTGTCCTCCTTCCGTCGGGGGTGAGTGTGCCCTTGGCACGGACGTCCTAGAGGACAGGCAGGAGGAGTTCCAGTGTCTAGCCGCTGCTTCACCTCGTCTCGCGTCTGTACTGCTAGCCCCTGAGGGAGACCCGGATGCACTAGACATCCCGACTCCGCGTTCTTACGCGGAGGCCGTAGAGGGTCCCTACTCCTCTCAGTGGCAGGCAGCTATGGATGCAGAGATGGCTTCCTGGAAGTCCACAGGCACCTACGTTGACGCGGTTCCCCCTCCTGGGGCGAACATCGTCAGTGGCATGTGGATCTTCAGGGTGAAGCGGCCGCCGGGCTCGCCGCCTGTCTTCAAGGCGCGTTACGTGGCTCGTGGCTTCAGTCAGCGGCAGGGAGTTGACTACTTTCAGACCTTCTCTCCCACCCCGAAGATGACCACTCTTCGGGTGCTGCTGCACATTGCCGCTCAGCGCGACTACGAGCTTCACTCTCTCGACTTCAGCACTGCGTTCCTGCAGGGTAGCCTGCACGAGGAGATCTGGCTGCGCCGTCCGCCTGGCTTCACTGGGACTTTCCCTCCTGGCACCCAGTGGAGCCTCCGACGGCCAGTCTACGGTCTCCGCCAGGCACCGCGTGAGTGGCACGACACACTGAGGACTACGCTTGCGGCTCTTGGGTTTGCTCCTTCTACTGCTGACCCGTCGCTGTTTCTTCGCACCGACACTTCCCTGCCGCCGTTCTACATCCTCGTGTACGTCGACGACTTGGTCTTTGCCACAGCGGACACTGCTGGACTAGCCTACGTGAAGTCCGAGCTGCTGAAGAGACACACGTGCACAGACCTGGGTGAACTGCGCAGCTACCTTGGCTTGCAGATCACTCGGGACAGAGCACGCCGCACCATTACCCTGACTCAGTCACACATGGTGCAGCAGGTCCTTCAGCGCTTCGGCTTCACGTACTCCTCGCCTCAGGCCACTCCTCTGCCTACTCGCCACTCACTCTCAGCTCTGCCTTCGGATGAGTCCGTAGAGTCGAGTGGTCCGTATGCAGAGCTTGTTGGCTGCCTCATGTACCTGATGACCTGCACACGACCTGACCTTGCATACCCTCTGAGCATCCTTGCACGCTATGTTGCTCCTGGGAGACACCGACCAGAGCACATGGCTGCAGCGAAGAGGGTATTGAGCTACCTGTGCAGTACGTCGGGCATGGGGCTAGTGCTTGGAGGGCGGAGTCCAGTGGTCCTTACTGGGCACGCAGACGCTTCTTGGGCTGACGACCAGGCTACGCAGCGGTCGTCACAGGGTTACACCTTCAGCCTTGGTTCCGGCTCTGTCTCGTGGCGGTCTACTCGCTCGTCTTCGGTTCTCGGCTCTAGTTGTGAGGCTGAGATCTACGCCGGGGCCATGGCTGCATAGGAGCTTCGCTGGCTCACCTACCTGCTGACTGACCTTGGAGAGCTGCCTCGTTCTCCTCCAGTGCTGTACGTAGACAACAAGGCCATGTTGGCCTTGTGTCGAGAGCAGCGCTTGGAGCACAGAACGAAGCACATTGCTCTCCGCTACTTCCTTGCTCGTGAGCTGCAGCAGCGTGGTCAGTTGCGACTTGCTTACGTGGCCTCTGAGGCCAACACTGCTGATGTGTTCACCAAGGCACTTGCGCCTTGCGACCATCAGCGCTTTTGTACCCAGCTGGGTCTTGTACCTGTCTTGCCTCACTTGCTCTCTTCTTGACTTTACTTGTACTTTGACATATATATACCTGCTCTTGCTTGTCTAGTTTTATATATATGTCTGTACTCCTGCATGTGAACTGGCCTCTGGCCTTGCTCTTGTGCTCGGACTGTGTGGTGACTTTGTGATCCACCCTGAGCTTGCTTTGCTTTGCTTGACTGGTCTTGTGACCCCTTGTTCTCCCCCACTTTGCCTATGGGGGTGTGTCAGATTATTATAGCTGATGCATGTTTGTAGGCTATAGTGGGGTAGCACATATGGGGTACAGTTTGCTAGGGTTGTATTTGTACCCAACTCTGACTTAGTCAATTCATTCCTGTTCATTCCTTTCACATAGTGCTCCCACTTTCAATAAACATGGGAAGTGAGCAAGTGTGTTTCCCCGAGCGGAACAACTGAAAATAAGCCTTTCACGCAGAATATGCCCAAGAACAAAACACGATGCTACCGTATGCTATGCATATGAGTACAAGCAAGGGGGTACACATTACAGGGGGCTACCGTAAGCCCCCGGATAGAAGCGCAGGCCTCAGATAAGCGCCGGCGCTTATAAAGGGATGAGGGCGCTTATATCCGGTCCTCAATTATAAGCGCACCCCCTAAAAATTTGTGATTTATTATAAGCGCATGTCGAATATTATATGAAGATCAGTCGAAATACAGAAACTAAATTCCCCTTACCAGGTAAGCGAAGTACAGTTCCACTTTCCCACTCACATCACACTTGCTGCGCGTCTAGTCAGCACGCGCTGTCGCTTAGTCAGCATGTGTTGGCAGGGAATCAATCCCTGCCAAGTTGCTCGAGAGTCAGATTCGCGACCCCATATATTTTCGACTCGATTACACTTGGAAGAACGAGATCTACAGTTTGGTGTTAGAAAAAACTTAATTTCATTTTGCCGTTATATAAACGCGGGCGCTTATAAATTTCCTCAATTATAAGCGCACCCCCTAAAAAACAGTGTTTTATTACAACCCCAGGGGCGCTTCTATCCGGGGTATGACGGTAACAAACTAATGAGATTGCTATGCTACTTGCTGTCAGGCAGCAGCACATCTCCTCCACCATTGGTAGCCAGGCCAGCCTATTTTCCATCCTCCCATTCCTCCCCCACCAGCAGAATTACTCCTCTGGGGCGTCCTCTGCATACAGGCAAGAAACAGGGAGAAGCGGGCAAAGTAGGAGGGACGGGGGGAAGCAGGGGAAGGTGGGGCACGTACTGACATTTGACCCCAAGCAACCAGTGGAGAGGCATGCAAGAGAGAGCCTAAAGAGAAAAGACAAGCAGCACTGTTTCTGGAGAGGAATACAGAAGAGTGTAAAGAGGAGGGGAGTGAAATGAAGGAGAGAGAAGCAGCGTACGCACCAGTGGCACAGCGAGCAGACTTCACTGATGAGGCAATCGCCTTTGACCTGCCCACGTGGGAGGGTCATGCAAGGGGGCTCAATGAGGCGCGGCAGTGGGCAAGTCAGGCAGGGGAGGAGTGTGTGGTTGGGAGAGTGAGTGAGTGTGAGCGAGAATGTGTGTCTGTGAGTGTCCTTCGCACTCCCCCTCGCTGCCCTTGCCCCACTCACACCTGTGTGCCCCACTCACCCCTGTGTGCCCAACTCACCCCTGTGTGCCCAACTCACCCCTTGCCCTTCACGAGAGTGTCCACGGCCGTTCCCTTGCAGTCCGGTGTAGCAAAGAACTGGATCTCCTTGCATGCCGCCTTCCCCGCCTGCTGCCATGCCACCTGCACCTTCTTCTTCCCGCGCCCCGCCCCGGCCCGAATGGCGACACAGCAGGAGGAGGTGAAGGCAAAGGAGCGCCCCTGCACCTTCATCCTCGTACCCACCACTGCCACTCGGGTGCCACGGGTGCTGCCTTTGCCACGGGTGTTGCCTTTGCCAGGGGTGCTGACATTGCCACGGGTATTGCCTTTGCCACGGGTATTGCCTTTGCCACGGGTGCTGCCTTTGCCACGGGTGCTGCCTTTGCCACGGGTGCTGCCTTTGCCACGGGTGCTGCCTTTGCCTGGGGTGTTGCCTTTGCCACGGGTGTTGCCTTTGCCTGGGGTGCCTCCTTTGCCACGGGTGTTGCCTTTGCCTGGGATGCTGCCTTTGCCATCGGTGCTGTCTTCGCCAGGGGTGCTGTCTTCGCCGGCGGTGTTCTCTTCGCCACGGGTGCTGTCTTCGCCGGCGGTGTTCTCTTCGCCAGGGGTGCTGTCTTCGCCGGCGGTGTTCTCTTCGCCAGGGGTGCTGTCTTCGCCGGCGGTGTTCTCTTCGCCAGGGGTGTTCTCTTCGCCAGGGGTGCTGTCTTCGTCAGGGGTGTTGTCTCCCTCGATCCCCGCCTCCTTCGCAGCCTCCCCGCCCGCCTCCTTCACTGCCTCGCCGCCCGCCTCCTTCACTGCCTCGCCGCCCGCCTCCTTCACTGCCTCGCCGCCCGCCTCCTTCACTGCCTCGCCGCCCGCCTCCTTCACTGCCTCGCCGCCCGCCTCCTTCACTGCCTCGCCGCCCGCCTCCTTCACTGCCTCGCCGCCCGCCTCCTTCACTGCCTCGCCGCCCGCCTCCTTCACTGCCTCGCCGCCCGCCTCCTTCACTGCCTCGCTGCCCGCCTCCTTCACTGCCTCGCCGCCCGCCTCCGTTGCTTTCTCAGATAGGACATTGCTGGCCGCGTCTGCTGCCTGCTTGTTGCTGTCAGGCAGGACATTGCTGGCCGCGTCTGCTGCCTGCTTGTTGCTGTCAGGCAGGACATTGCTGGCCGCGTCTGCTGCCTGCTTGTTGCTGTCAGGCAGGACATTGCTGGCCGCGTCTGCTGCCTGCTTGTTGCTGTCAGGCAGGACATTGCTGGCCGCTTCTGTTGCTTCGTTGGTGCTCGTGTCGACTAATGGATCGCTGCCCATGACTAGGTGAGCTGCGAGGGGGGTACAGAAGAGGAACAAAAGAGGCACAAGGCGTACTCGCCGCACAGAGGGCTCAAGGCGTGTTCACAAAGACGCATAGCACGGCGGCCACGGAGGGCGCAAGGCGCGTTGACGAAGCATGGAAGGAAAAGAGCCTCTTTTTCTCAGAACAGGAGGGGTAGAAGGCGTGTTGACAACACGCGTGGGATGAGAAAAGCAGGAGGCGCAGGGGCAAGGCGTACCGGTGAAGAGCGCGACGAGGAAGACGCGAATCACGACCGTCGCACTCCCCATATTCCGCATCCTCGGTAAAGTCCCCATCAGCCGCGCAGCATGCACGTACGATCACGGAGAGCGAGGGGAGAGGGCAGTGGAATGACGTGCTACAAGCGCGCTGACGGTGGGAGAGCGAAAGGAGAGGATGCTTCGCCGTTTGAAGGGAAGCGGCTGCAATGGACTCTGCTGCTCATCGCTACTGCTCTCGTCTCCGTTTATACCTGATCGCCTCTCCAACCTCGCCTCACCCATCACTCGCATCGCGTCACACCCTCCGAATCTCTTGTGGTGCATGGGAAATATCCGAGCCTGAACCTCCGCGGTCAAGCAGCGCGAGGAACGCTGCGACGAGGCACGCTGCGACGAGGCTTAGTGGAATGGCAGAGGCGATGAGGTGAGTAGCCTTCTCTGCTGCACGCAAGCGTCGTCAGTCTAGCGACGAGGTACTAGTATGAGCGCTAACAAACGCGTTCCCAATGCGCCCGGGAAGGTCGCCATTGGCGTGCGACGATCCCCAGAATATTCGCAATTCGCTACTCGCAGCTACTAGCGGCGGAAAACACTAGGCCGTGGCGAGAGGATTAGATATCGCAAGGAACGCGGTCATGGTTAGTGCGACTCCTTCGTGCGGTACATTCCAGCCCGACTTCTACTGGTTCCACACACTCGAGAGGATTCGTTGGCCCCGTTCGCCAGAACGCCTTGTGGATACAGGACGGGATCGGGTTGATCGCAGAGATGCGCATGCGACGATGCAGTCAAACGGAAGGTGGTTTAGGACGCGGTGAAAGTGCTCTATCAGGGGTAGATCGATACGGTCACCGCACGGAAAATCCGCTATTTGCATACAAAAAATACAGAACCTTTTTTAACCGCTCTAAAAAGCGATCCTTGGGCGATTCTCCACTTTCACCGCGTTTGGTTGGTCAAGTTCTTTCACTGCAATAATGTCTAGGTATTCATTGTGGTGCGGAACGATTCGAGGCAGCTGATTTCATGCACTTCTCTTGAACGTGTTTACCGTACTTAACCGCGTCATACAAGCCTAGTTCGAAGTTGGGTTGACCCCTGAAGATCATTTGTTTGAACAAGTGTGACCCTTCGAGGAGGTTGATTCGTTTGAAACATGAAATTATGTTGCATGAGAAGTGTTACGAGTGCAATTGAGTGAACGAACGAGAATTGCACTATCGAAGCAAGAATACAATGAGCGAGGGCGTGAGCGAAGAATATATAGCGAAACTACAGTGGTAACGGTAATGGTCTGTGGTATTCGCGCGACGAGCCTGGGACTGAGGTTGGGAAAGTGTCGAGGCGTAGGCCCGGAGCACGGGTTACCAGCCGAGCCGTGAGGTCGGGATGCGATGTGCGAAAAATTTCGGGATGATTGTCGATGCGATGATCGCGAGTGGTAACGGTGCTGACTGAGGTGCTACAGTGATGTACGCGTTGAGCAGGGATGCGAAGTAAGGAAAAGGGATTTTCCTTACACTACCCCCCCCCCCCTCCTAAGGAGGTCCTTCTTACGAAAGTGTGTGGACATCTTTGAAGTTTCGGCTGCGCAGATATTCGGTGAGGACAGGGTGGTTTTCAATTCTGTCCAGGGGAACCCAGTTGTCCTCGGTAGGTGTACGGTCTTTCCAGCGGATCAGGAACTCGATCTTTCGGGCTCCTCGGGGGACGCGAACTCTGTGACTCAGGATTTTGTCGGGGGTGATGATTGGTTCGGATGGTGGTCGTGCCATGCTGGATGGTCGGTCTCGTGGGAGTTGGCCGGTGGATGGTACGTAAGGGCGAAGCAAGCTGACGTGGAACGAGGAGCTGACGTACCAGTCAGCAGGGAGGAGGAGGTGCGCGGTGACAGGTGTGATCATGTGGCTAATTCGAAATGGCCCACAGTATCGGGGGCGGAGTTTTGGAGTGATGGGCAGGCGGAGGTTTTGAGTGTCGAGTAAAACGAGGTCGTCGGGCTGATAAGTGACAGGTTTGCGGTGGCGGTCGGCGTTGCGTTTAGCGATGATGTTCGATTTTTTTATTGCTCCTGCTGCCCTGGTCCGTGCTGCTTGCAAAATCTCGGCAGATTGTTGCGCACGTGGAACGGGGTTGTCGGGATTTGGGGTCATGGGTACTGTGGGGTCTTGTCCGTAATTCAGATAAAACGACGACTGTTGGGTCGTGGCAGATGGCGCGTTGTTGTATGCGAATTCGATGAGTGGCAGCTGCTGCTCCCACGTGTTTGGGTCGTCGCACGTGGCCCTAATGAGCTGCTCCATGGTCTGGTTTGTCCGTTCTGTCTGTCCGTCGGTTTCGGGTGATACGATGAACTGAATTGTAGTCGCGTGCCGAACTGCTGCCACAGGTTCCGCCAGAAATTGCTGGTAAACTTCGTGTCTCTGTCGCTGATGATCGATGCTAGTATCCCGTGCAGTCGAACGACGGTGGTGATGAAGAGTCGGGCTGTTTCCTCGGCTGTCATTGTTTTCTTGCAGGCTGCGAAGTGTGCCATTTTCGTCAGTCGATCGATGACGACCAGGATCGCGTCATTCCCACTCGCCCCGGCTGGTAACCCCGTGACGAAGTCCATCGTCACTTGTTGCCAAGCACGCTCTGGAGGTGGGATTGGTTGTAATTGTCCCGCCGGCGGCTTCCTGGTTGACTTCATGAGCTGGCAAGTGGGACACGATGCCACGTGTCGTTGCACGTCGGTCAACATTTCAGGCCAGAAATAGTACCGCTGCAGCTGCTGCCGTGTTTTCTCTACTCCGAAATGTCCCGAGGTAACTCCGTCGTGTGCCTCCTATAGTAGTAATTCCCGTAGTAGTGTGTACCCTGGTACCCAGATGCGGTCGGTTCCAGATTTTACGTAGTAGACTCCCTTGGCTGCTGCGAATTGCTGCGAGTTTCCTCCTGTGAAGAATGGGTCTGTTTGATATCCGTGGGTAAATAGTCCTGACAGTAGCGGATTGGTCTGGGCGAGTAGTATCGCATGGATCTGGGCAGTGGGGCGGGTCAGTGCGTCGGCGATATTGGAGGCTCCTTTTTTATAGGTGACCGTATAATGGAAGTTCGACTCGAGGAAGTCGAGCCACCGAATCTGTCGTGGGTTGAGGTGGGGCTGTGCACGGAGGTACTGTAGGGATCGATGGTCTGTCCGTACTGTCACGTCTGCGCGGGTCAAGTAGCAGCGCCACACTTTGAATGCATGCACGATCGCGAGCATTTTGCGGTCGTGTATCGGGTAATTTCGCTCAGGCGGATGCAGTTTGCGTGATTCGTAGGCGATTGGTTGGAGGCCGTTGCCGAAGTCCTATAACAGTACGGCTCCGATGGCGATGTCGCTTGGGTCTGTAACAACCTCGAAGGGGCGATGTGGGTCAGCGATGCGTAGGACGGGTGGTGAACAGAGAACAGTTTTCAGGGCAGAGAAGGCAGCATGCTCTTTCTCCCCCCACGTAAAAACGACCCCCTTACGCAGTAAATTTGTGAGTGGGGCTGTTAAGTGTGCCATGTCGGGGACGAACCGACGGACGTAATTAACGAACCCTAAAAAACTCTGCAGTTCCGTGATGTTCGTCGGGGGACGCCACGCGTTGACAGTATCCAGCTTCTTAGGGTCGATTTCAACTCCAGCCTCCGAAATAACGTGTCCTAAAAATTCTAGCCTGTCCCGAAAAAACTCGCACTTGGAGCCCTTGGTGAGTAACCGATGTTCGGCAAAAATTTTAAAAACTGCTTCGAGATCGACCAAGTGCTGCTGCTTGTCCCGACTGTAAACGAGAATGTCATCAAGGTAAACTATCACGCATTTATCTAAAAGTGGCCTAAACGCCTCGTTCATGGTCATTTGAAATGTGGCGGGCGCGTTGGTCAGCCTGAAAGGCATCACCGTATACTCGAATGACCCGTACCTAGTTCTAAATGGTGTCTTGGCGCAGTCCGATGGTTCGACCCGAATCTGATGGTAACCTCCTCGTAAGTCTATTTTCGAAAATACCCGTGCGGTTCGTAACTGGTCGATCACTTCGTCGGCGCGGGGGATGGGGTACCGTGATTTGACTGTTACCCTGTTAAGCGCTCGGTAGTCGATGCACATGCGAAACCCTCCGTATTTTTTCGGTGTGAACAGTATCGGTGCGGCGAACGGTGACGAGCTCGGTCGGATAAACTGCTTCTCTAACAGATAATCTAACTGCTTCCTTAGTTCGTCGAGCTCGGGCTGTGTCAGTCTTAACTGGCGCTGTACAGTTGGCTGTGCCCCCAGTTCTAAGTCGATCCTATGGTCATGCGCCCGCTAAGGTGGCAGCCCTTGTGGTAAGTCATCCGGAAAGATACCCGGGAATCGTTTCAGTAGTGCCTGAAGTTCGGGTGGTACAGCTGCCAATAGTTTCTGAAAATTGCTTGGCAGCTCCTCTTCTTGCACTAATGCTATATCCACTGCGTACAAGTCAGCTCCAGCAGCGACAGCCCGTTTCATCGTGATGGCGTTGACCTACACCGTCGAAGACTCGGGTGGCTGCCAGCGAGGTAGGACGACCCAGTTCCACTATTTCGCATTGTGCAGCTACCCGTCGTCCAGTCAATTCGCGGGTTATACCTTCGTAGCCAATCACGTCCCAGTAAAATGTCGTGTCCATCCACTATCGTTGCGAGCATTTCCTGTGTAAACCTGAAGTTTCCTCCGCAGCGGACTTTTACTCGCTCCACCTTTTCCCGTATGGCTAGTGGCGTTCCGTCGACTAAGCGTGCACCTATCTCAGGTAAGCATCGGTTAAGTGTTAACTGTAATTTTCGTGCGGTTGCGGTATTAACTAAACTGTGACTTGCTCCCCCGTCAATAAAAATCTTCACTGCTGCTCCATGTATTTTCCCGTAGATCAGTACCGGGCAATCCGTCGCTGTACCCTCCTTATTCATCCGAGCCCGATCGATGGCGTGAATCGGTATTGTGACTCGGTGAGGGTCGGTGTGGTTGGGCGAGCAGGCAGTCTCGTCAGTAGTTGGCCCATCTTCTACTAAGT